CAGGGTGATGCACTATCACCGCTGCTGTTCTGCATAGGCCTGAACCCCCTCAGCCAGATCATCACAAAGACTGGCTACGGATACCAATTCCGAAGCGGAACAATCATCAGTCACCTCCTCTACATGGATGACATCAAGCTGTATGCCAGGAGTGAGCGAGACATCGACTCACTGATCCACACTACCAGGATCTACAGCAACGACATTGGGATGTCATTCGGACTGGACAAATGCGGTCGCATGGTCTCAAAGAGAGGGAAGATGATCAGAACTGAGGGGGTTGAACTACCAGAAGGCCACATAACAGATGTTCAGGACAGCTACAAATACCTTGGGGTGCCACAGGCTAACAGAAACCACGAGGAGATGGCAAGAAAGACTGCCACAGCTAAATACCTACAAAGAGTAAGGCAGGTCCTGAAAAGTCAGCTGAATGGGAAAAACAAGATCCAAGCGATCAACACATATGCCCTACCAGTCATCAGATACCCCGCTGGTATAATAAACTGGCCAAAGGAGAAGATAGAGGCTACTGACATCAAGACGAGAAAGCTCCTCACAATGCATGGAGGGTTCCACCCCAAATCCAGTACTCTGAGACTGTACACCAAGCGTAGCGAGGGAGGCCGAGGGCTAGTGAGTGTCAAGACCACTGTTCAGGATGAAACAAATAAGATCCAGGAGTACATCAGAAAGATGGCCCCCAAAGACAAATGGCTTGGTGAATACCTCAGGCAGGAGAAAACCAAAAGTGAGGACAAGAAAGAGGAAGGAGAACCATCATGGAGGGACAAGCGAATGCACGGCGTTTACAACAGACAAATAGAAGAAGTGGCTGATATCAAAAAATCCTACCCGTGGCTGGAAAAGGCTGGACTGAAGGACAGCACAGAGGCACTAATCATGGCAGCACAAGAACAGGCACTCAGTACAAGATCAACAGAGGCCAGGGTCTACCACACCAGGCAGGACCCCCGATGCAGACTGTGCAAAGATGCCTCTGAAACAATACAGCACATAACAGCGGGGTGTAAAATGCAGGCAGGAAGTGCATACATGGAACGCCACAACCAGGTAGCTGTCATAGTGTACAGGAACATCTGCCATGAGTATGGGCTGGAAGTCCCAAGGTCAAAATGGAAGACACCTCCTAAGGTAGTTGAGAATGACCGAGCTAAGATCCTATGGGACTTCAAGATCCAGACTGACAAACAGGTGATGGCTAACCAACCAGACATTGTGTTGATCGACAAACAGCAGAAGAAGGCAGTAGTGATAGATGTGGCAATCCCAAGCGACAGCAACATCAAGAAGAAAGAACATGAGAAGCTTGAGAAATACCAAGGACTGAAGGAGGAGCTAGAAAAGATGTGGAAAGTGAGAGCGGCAGTGGTGCCAGTGGTAATTGGAGCACTGGGGGCTGTGACCCCCAAACTGGGAGAGTGGCTACAGCAGATTCCAGGTAAAACATCAGAGGTCTCTGTCCAGAAGAGCGCAGTCCTAGGAACAGCTAAGATACTGCGCAGAACCCTCAAACTCCCAGGCCTCTGGTAGAGGACCCGAGCTTGAGGATGACACATACCACCCCACGAGGGGTGAGAAAACAGTTTTATATATATATATATATATATATATATATATATATATATATATATATATATATATATATATATATATATATATATATATATATATATATATATATATATATATAATTATCATCTACAATGGAATGGTTCACAAATAAACATATTCAGGTGTTAGAATGGCCAAGTCAAAGTCCAGACCTGAATCAGGAATCTGTGGAAAGAACTGAAAACTGAAAGAGGCAAATATAGCAATTCACTTTTCAGGAGTGCAAAGACCCTAAACACACAGAGCGACAAAAAAATTGTTTAAATCATATCTGATTTGTTATAATGACATGGTCAGAGTTTAAATTTAAATCTAATGCAGATATGTGCGACAACCTGGCAAACTCTGAAGTTGTTCAGATTATCCAGGAGGAATGAAGGCTGCAAGTCAATGACTCAATCTGGGGAATTTACTTAGAAAAAACAGCAACTTCTTCCCAATCTGTCTGCATCCTTTGATTCATTTTACTTTGCAAAGTGCCTTGAGATTGCATTTGCTGAGATGTGAGGCATTATAAACAAGCTAATTTGAATTTGATTGTTGCTTTCACATCAACCTAGTTTTAACTAATATTCAAATCAGTTTGAACAGAGCATTCAAAAAGCAAACCAGGCAGAGCTTCTAGAAGAGTTGTTACATAAGATCAATGACTTCTATGCTGTAGGTAGTATAATTTTGGTGGAGTTAGAACAATTATTTTCATTTAATCTAATTATCATGGGGAAACTGGCTCCTTATACAAACTTTCAAGATGCAAATGATCTGTTTCAAGAAATTAGATTTTCATTCAGGGATTCAGGTGTAATGATTTTGCTAACTTTGAACAAAACTCTCCTGATGATGCTATACTGTAGCCATCTTTAACCAGGCACATTACATGCTTCAGACAGAACTTAAGATTTTTCTTAAATGTTGTCTGCTTGCAGTACATAACCACATATTTCCACTTTGCCTCAACCTTAATTAAAACCAACTCTCTGGAATATCATAAGGTCTGCACTTGCACACGCATTGAGGAGCAGGTGAGGGCTTGCATAAGTTTTTCTCTTAAAAAAAGAAAGTATCTTACTCTGCATGAACACATAGATACAAAAGTGGGCATGTCTATTTTCAACAGCCAACCTGCCTTTTTTTAATAAACACTTCAGGTTCAAATGTGCAGTCTGCCAACAGTTTGTTACAGTACCTCTTTAATATGGAAGAACACAGTACATATTTTAGTTGTGTTTTAGGTTCCAGAAAGAAGAGACGCAAAGAGAAAAGACAGAGGAAATTTAGTAAAATAAAAAGAAATGCATAAAGCTACAAAGAAACCAAATCTAAAATACTTATTTAAGAAATATGACCAAAATAACAGGTTAGAATGTTTAATTGACCAATAATATTATAGCTTTGCCAGTCAGTCTCAGTCAGGGACAACATTCATATATGGTTTTGATTAAAGGAGCAAAGCAGGAAGAAGGGGAGAAATGTAGGCTAAAAAGTCTTCAGATATGGATTTCATTGCTGCAGAATTTATTGGACGGCTCAAGCGTTGTACACCAGGCCAAAAAAGTTGTCAGAAAGCAGGACAAAACTTGTTTTTCACGTCTTTGCACCACTGACACATCCTTTTATTTGGCTGACGTTTAATGTCTTTGGCTGTGAATGACAATCGTTAGCTTTTCTGTTTTAGATCGCCAGCGTTTTCAGTTTCTGTCAAACTCCACATGCATATTATATTGTTCTCAGCGGACTCTGCAGTTCTGCATCTGTACATCTGCATTCCTGATGTCCTGTTGCATCCAATCTCATAAATCAATCAATTTGCCAATAAAACATTTTAAAGGAATACCGAGTATTAGTCCCTTGATAGTGGAAACAAAATTGTAATCGCTGGCTCCTGGAATTGTGTCCCCTACTCTCTGTCCAATCAATTTAGTTTAAATTGATGGATAATATATGGCACCAATGTACGAAGCAAACAAATTAAATTCATTCACATACATTTTGCAAGAAATAAACCAAGGTTTATTGCCTTACTACTGCTTAGTCTGACTCAAAGCGAACCCACACACTTCCTTTCGCCTCGGAGGTGGAATGTAGTAACCTTAGCTAATTATATTGAACACAACACTTATTTGGCAGAAAAGTCTACGATGTGAACACGTTGTGCCAATAAAAAGATCATATCAGCATGTGCAACTGCTCAGTTTATATTGTGCATTGATCAAACAAAACCTTCAACAGGCCAGGACACACACGTGCAGTGCAGAATCCATGTCTCCTGCACTCAGACAAGCTGATGGCACACCTGGCAAAATACAGCACTGCTATTACACAGGGGGAATGCCACACCTGGCAGGAGCAGGTATGGTTTTCCACTTTTAAACTGAATGCTGTAGTTAGGCTGGCACAAAGCAGAAGATTGGCATGACAGGGCAGGCGCAAGTTTTGCAGGTGAAGAGATGAGGAGGACAACTTGGTGGATTGGAACATATAAATTAAGAGATGAATTTGCAGAAGCATTGGAGCTCTCTGCCTATTTTTCCACAGGACTGACACATGGTGAGCAGCCACACCCTGGAAATCTTTTTTTTTTTCTATTAAGTGCCAGCTGAATGCTGCAGGGCTAAAATTGACAGATAAATCTAAGAAAAATAAAAAGAACAAAACAGTGCATTTTGAAGCCAAGGGTTTACAGTATCACTACAGGTATGAGCAGAATGATTGGTGCAGCCACATCATACTACAGTATTTGAACACAGATTTGAAAACGTGCCTTCTTGCAACATCTATATTGAAAAAAAAAGTCTGTCAATCTTCTACAGCTGATTTCTGCTTCTTGTCTGTGTCAAAACATTCAATTCCTTCTGGAAATACAAATCTTTTCTAGCTTGAAACCACTACTCTGAATGTGACAACAAAACCTGTAGACAGCCCATATTTTGTCCAGATGAGGTCCTGAGTCTTTGGTTTGTCTGTCCCTAAGTGAGTGTCCACTGATAATACAGCTGAACAATACCTCACTCCTGGAGCCCTCTCAGAAATTGAAATCAAAGCAAACGTAAAATTAATCAAATGCATGTGCACAACTGTATCCACCCTTATGCACTGGCTCCCAATGTGTCTCTTTATCTCGGCTCACATTATGATTCATGCTGAAACCAAACTGATTTTGAAAAAGCAAAGCACTCAAAAAACATTCAACATTTTGATTCCTAATGCAAGAATAATTTGCACAGTGGAATACAAATAGCAGCCTCTACTAAGTTGGATTAAAAAAAATGAAATAAAAAATAAACAAAACCCCTTTTATCTCCCATGCACATCAAAGCATAGCCACATTTATCAAAAATTGTGAAGATATTTTACCCTCAGCTCACCCTTTTATGCTGCACAGTCCCTTTTTCAAACTCCAGTACATCAGGTGTGCAGCAGTCACTCTTCTTCTTCCTCTGCCTCCCTTTCCTTCACCCACTGCTCAACCTGTAGTTATAGTGTGGCACTAGTTGCACTCAGCTGTGGTGTGTCGTGAACTAAGACAGAAGGAAGGAGGAGAGATGGGAGGGATAGAAGGACAAATGAGTCCTGCCCAGACCGATGATAGAGGCTTCCAAAAAAACGCCCTCGGGGGAGAAAAGATTAGAATATTTCACTTTGCTTGAAGTTTAACTTTCTCATCACTATGTCGTTTCCACTGGCATATTTTACCAGCTTAATTTCTTCTCTGTGTCTTTGTCCCAATAAGTTTTCCTACAACCAATTGTGCCTTCCTGATGTTCTGCCAATTCTCAAACCACAATTTCTGCTTGCCTTGCTCTCTGCTTCTACAACCTATCTATCTATCTATCTATCTATCTATCTATCTATCTATCTATCTATCTATCTATCTATCTATCTATCTATCTATCTATCTATCTATCTATCTATCTATCTATCTATCTATCTATCTATCTATCTATCTATCTATCTATCTATCTATCTATCTATCTATCTATCTATCTATCTATCTATCTAATGTCTATATGACTTCAAGTAACTCAACGTACATCTGGTGTGCAGCTGTATAATAGGAAACATCCGTTTATGTAACTGTGCATGCAGGTGCATTATAAAGGTCCAGAGCTCCCTGTCCGGTAACGAATAAATATTTTCTGATTTCACTACCAATTTGCTTTGTTTTGTTGTTTGGTTTCAGGAAACTGTAAACTGAGACAGTAAACTCACACAGTTTTTTCTTCTAATTTTTTCTCTACAAAGCTTCAAACTCAACGCTTATTCTGATACTTTGAATTGAAAAAGCTTCCTGGATGGGAAGCAAAATATCTTCAAACTTCTTCTTCAAAAGTCCAGAGGATTGTTTTTTTTTTTGGTTTTGCTTTTTTTTAACTTTTTTTGGAATTCTCATTTTTGCAAAGGCTTGATACTTTTAAGGATCAAAGCGCATTGACTCTCTGTTGAATGTGGAGACACAATTAATGTATGAGTAACCATTTGCATCTCAAACACAGTAAAACAGTGAGCTAAAAATAGCAAATGCAAAGGAAAATATTTAGATTTAGTTTTTAATGGGAACTGGAAACAAATCATGGTTTTCTCCAAAAATGTGTATAATAAATAAATGTAAACAATAAATGTAAACATTTCTGTCAACAAAGATTTGCATCATAGCCTGCAACACTCGTTTCAGCGCGGTGCAGTGCCAGGCAGGTGGCTGTTTTAAACAAACCGGTAGGTGTGTCTCGGACAATGGATCCCAAAGGGAAAGAAAATATGCTAGCTGATGAGAACAGAGGATTCAAAGAAGAATGGACCGAATCATTTGATTTCATTACCAATGCAGAAAAGATTGATCATGTTTCCTTTATAATTACAAGTTGTCAAGTAATAAAAAGAGTAATTTGGAAAGGGATTTTAAGGAAAGGCATGCTAAATTTGTAGCCGAACCCTAAATTGGGAATGAGAGAAACGTGCAACTGCAGAACTTCTGGATAAATTACAGAAGCACAAAGATAAATTTAAGAAGTGGGTTGCGTCTCCAAACTCCACTACTGCTGCTAGTTTTGATCGGAGCATGGGAAACTGTTCACAGATGGAACAGGTAGTACTCTGATGCAGGTATATGAACTTTCTTCCATTTTTTCCCCTGAATCCTCAAAATAAAAGAAATAACACAAAAAATATTTCTATAATTTACTTTCTATAATTCATCTATAATTTCTATAATTTCATCAATGCAACAAAACCTTATACATTAATATTGTAATGGAATTTAAACTTAAAGCACCAAATATCGTACAGCAGAGTAGTCACATGATGTGACATTTGCTCCAGGCTAAACCTTTAATCATGAATGCTTATTATATATTTAAGCCAACGTAGTCCTTTTTTATAGTGGGCTAATACACTTAGAGCCTGTGTTGCCATATGAGGCTTATTTAAGAGGGTTAAACTTTTTGTGGCTCCAGACAGATTTGCTTTTTGTTTTTTTCTGGTCCAATATGGCTCTTTGCACAGTTTGGGTTGCCAACTCTTGACAGAGAGCTACTTGCGGCAGGTTGCAGACCCCTGATCCAGGAAATGAGAGCTGTGATTATATGTTAATATAGCTAAAGCTAATAGTGTAACACTTTAATAATTGTGAAAGTAGAACAATAAATGTTCAAAGTTAAATTGATTGAAGTAACCAATCAGTTTTGGTTTCTGTGGGATCACATCATCATCTTCATCATCGTAAGAAACCAACGGTGTATGTTGTTTTAAGTGTAGGGGCCTTAATAGGGGCCAGGAACAGTCCCAACCGGCACTGTTTGGACCTGTTTAGTATAATTAATAATCATAAATTGCATTGGTTATCCCAGGAGATGATAAGTTTCTTAACTGACCAGACCCAGCCCATCTGGCACTAACAACTATGTCACAATGAAACTGACTCTTATTCAACACACACACACCTCAGAACTGACCCTTTTTAATAGCTCTAACACTTCTTTCCCAGAATGCCAGCAATTCAGCTTGTTTGTTGCGAGGAAGGTGTATCTGTTTCAGAGCAAACTTACCAGGAGATTTCATTTGAACCCTAACCTTGTTCAATGGGATGCCATTTCTGCAAACAAAAAATACTTATTTTCACATAATGAATTAAAAGTAAAACACACGAACAATACCAAAAAAACAGAAAAACAACAACAGACAATCAAAAATCCACCCCAACTTTCTAATAGTTAATTTAAATGAAAGTTTTAGAGAAAAAAGCAACAAGAATGAAAAAAGGTTTCCAGTCCATCTGTTTAGTCATCTCAGAACTTGATATAGAGACAAACCAGAACACTGGTGATGTCTTACCGATCATGTTAACACATATCCTGTTGCAGGACAGAAAGAAAACAGCACTGAGCAGGTTAAAATTCTGGGTCACCAAAAACAACCTGAAACTCAAAACCAATTTCATCAGCACACTTTGGACACCGCTGTAATGACTATCGGCTATATCTTCTGTATTGTCTGTCCTTGTTCACATGCCCTCTTAGGCAAAGATTACTATTCGATTTTTTTGTCTCATTCTCCCCCATATTCCCAGGGAGTTGTGCTTGAATCAAAGCAGAGTGATTCAGTGCTCAAAGGATGAGAAAAATCCTGTTTACAGCTATGGGGGCCTTGACCTATGAGTCACTGTAGTTTTTGAGAGTTTCACACAGCTTCCCCTCTTTGCTGGATGGAATATCCCTGTCTTAAGCTATTCCTGCTAGTCTAGTTAAGACTGTCTTGGTATTGGTTATTAAAAACACAGGTTTCCTCAGTTATAAACATTATTTTATTTGGACTGTTGTATAAATGCAATACCAGAGGGGACAGCATGTCAAACATTCCTAAAATGGGAACACTGTCTTTAGTTGAAAATCATTTCAGCATTATCTGTTTGGTACACTCTTCGTAGGAAGTGCCAGAAGACACACATATGATTCATTTGGAAATCTTTTAGAAGGGATACCTCTTGTCCTACAGTATCACCTGCTTTTTTTTTTTTACCATAGCTTTGTGTCCTTCCTTTTTCTAGTGTTTTGTAAGAAGTACAATATGTCCTTCTTTTTGTAGAGTCCATAGACATTGTCACCAGGTCTTGCAGATAATTATCTGCAATAAATAGAATATTGAATTTTTTTTAACATAGCACATTATGAAATAAACATAACACATATAACACATATAATACTTCAAATTGCTTAAACATTTGCTCCCTTTTTCTTTTAAGTCTAAAAGACATGTGCTTTGAATAAATTAAATTCTAAAAAACACCCCATGATGATGATCTCATCAGAAGTCCTAAAAGTACTGCGAAAAGTATTAAAGCATCCGTCCATACAGGTATACTGCCATCAGATCAGGGCAGACTTAAAAGATGCAATAAAATCAAAGTGAAGGATAACTCTCAGAATGATAAATTACAAAAAAAAATCCATTCTCATAAAGCATCTATAGGTAGAGAAACTAAAAATGTAGCCCTCCAGCCAAAGGACATGCATGTGCATCACATGGGTCATTTCAGCAGATAATGAGTGGAATCCAAGCCCAGCGGAGATAAATTCTTTGCAGGGTGACTGAACTTAAAGCTAAACCAAAAGATGTAGGTTTGTTTTTGTAGGGCTTGATATAACAAAGGTGTGTTCAAGTGTTTTGAAATATTTTGGATTGAAGTGAACTGGTAGTTCTTTCATTAAGAACAAGTCTTATCCACCTGGAGACAAAAAAAAATAGGAAACATTAACCTTAGTGTATCTTTGAGCGATTTAGATGAAAGATAAACACAGAGTAGTTTATGATTTAAAATGTTGTAAAAGGACTTCAAACTTTTGTAAGATTAAACTTTGAAAGTTTTAGCCTGCATCTGTCTCCCATCTCCTAAGTCAAAACATTTAAGAAATATATTTTACTGCATGCAACAGCTCCTCTCTGGGCTATGCCTTTACCAGATGTACACATCTACAGACAGAAATTTGTATGTATCCACTCAAGTTTTTGATTGTAAGGAGGGCTACCATTGCTTAAAAAGTAATAGTTAAAGTGACTGAAATTATTATTTTTTCTGTAATAGGATGAGGACAACTTTCTACTCAGATGTAAAGTTGTACATTACGTCCTTGGTTCTTATAAGGGTACCTCAAGTACATTCCCAATTCATCATTCAGTAAATCACCACTTAAAAAGTACAGTCTTTAATTTTGTTTTTTTTTTAGACTGTAAACAAAGATGAATATTTGTACCCATCTGAAATTTGAGTAAGTTTTAAAATGTAATATGATACCCACAAAAAAGCTAAAATCACTACTAGGGCTATTTATTTATTTTTTTTATTCAGAGTGCTTTTATTTTTATGTGTTTCAAAAACACATTCATCTAACTAGACTGTGTGATTTTATAGCAAAAAAAGTAATTTAATATAAACATTTTGAAATCTAATGACATGAGTTTTAACAACTTCAGATGGTCTTGCAGGGTACCAACAGTGTCATCTTCCTGTGACTTTACACTCTCT